AAAAAAAAAAAAAGTAAATAAAATCTGGGGCTCGGCTCGGCGCCTGTGGCTCAAGTGACTAAGGCGCCAGCCACATATACCTAAGGTAGTGGGTTCGAATCCAGCCTGGGCCCACCAAACAACAATCATGGCTGCAACCAAAAAATAGCCAGGCATTATGGTGGGCACCTATAGTCCCAGCTACTTGGGAGGCAGAGGCAGGAGACTTGCTTAAGCCCAGGAGTTGGAGGTTGCTGTGACCTGTGATGCCAAAGCACTCTACCCAGGGGGATAGCTTGAGGCTCTGTCTCAAAAAAAGTAAAATAAAATAAAATAAAAAATAAATAAATAAAACCTGGGGCTCATGTTTATAATCCTAACACTCTGGGAAGCCAAAGGGGAAGGATAGTTTGAGGTCAGGAGTTTGAGACCAGCCTGAGCAAATGACATCTCTATTAAAAATGAAACAGCTGGGTGTAGTAGCATGCACCTATAAACCCAGCTACTCAAAGGCTGAGGCAGGAAGATTGCTTAAGCCCAGGAGTTGGAAGCTGCAGTGAGCTATGATAACACCCCTGCACTCTACTTGGGGCAAAAGGGCAAAACTCTGTCTCAAAAATAATTTTTTTTTCATATATAGGCAATTTCACCCCTAGTCACTGCACTGGAGTTGTTTTTACTGTTTTTATAAGATAAATTGCAGAAATCTAAGAGGTCCCTTTAGAATCATTATCTGCTGATGCTTCTTTGATTTTTGATCTTATTCTTTAAAAGGTTTCGGATCTGACAGAGAAGTTAGAGGAGAGGATGTATCACATTTATAATCACCACAACAAGATCATCCAGGATAAGCTGCAAGAGTTCACCCAGAAAATGGCAAAGATCACCCATTTGGAAACAGAGCTCAAACAAGTCTGTCACACTGTGGAGACTGTGTACAAAGACCTGTGCGTCCAGCCTGAGGTATGAACAAGCTCACGGGGATTCCTGCCAGAGGCTGTGGGGAGTGATGGCCCAGCTGAAATTAAATGTGAACAGAAACCCAGGCACCCAGTTCTCACCCCACAGAGCAATAATCACTGCAAAGCCCTTGGTATCTTGCCATGTGGTCCCCTGTAACATGGTGTGTCCAAGCCAGGAAGCTGTGCTGTTGCCATCTCCCACTATTCTGTGGTCAGAAAAGACAAAGTCCTCCACACCTCTGCCAGCCAGAACTCATCCCTACTACCCATAGCCCTGCTACATGAACATGTCTCTTGGAGGCTGGGCAGTGCCTATTCTAGGTTTATCTATTTCAGCAGAGCTTAAGATTCAGACATGAACCAGACCACTGTAGGGGAAACTCCCACCTCATCCCAGATGTGATCCTCCTGTGGTTGTGAAACTACTTCTTAGGTGGTTCCCAGTAAATGGGGCCCAACACTGGGGTCAGACATGCAGATTCTTTATTTTCCTCTCCCCTGTTCTGCTCCAACATTCACCATAAGGCACTACCCCCGATGGGAGGGTAAGAGGGCACACAGTGAACCCTTGGAGTGAATGTCTGACTAAGCAGACACCACTATGGTCTTGAGGAAGCTGCTTTCAGGGTCATTCTCCTTCCCTCAAGAGAAGCTTCTGTTCCAAGGTAAACAGAGTCTACTCTCATCCATGGTTAAGTGGACTATGAAACTCTACAGAGAATTCCATTTTCATCTTCTTTTTAAGGAGCACATCTGAACAACTTCAGAAAGGAAATTTCCCATTCCCACCATAAAAGTTAGCTCCATCTACCACTTTCCTTATAAACTCATAGTGCAACATTCCCAGAGACCAACCTGGTGTCTCTCTGGGAAGAGGCTTCAGAGCACCATGGTGAAGTATGTTCACTTGCCAACCTTGAATGCTTGAATTCCTGTGATAGCTCTTCCAAGGATCAGAGCATGAATGTCATGTGTACCTAGACAGGATTAATATAGAGTCAGTTTAGAGTCTTAACAGCTCACAAATTCCCTTTAAAATCAGTCTTCAGGCTCGGTGTCTGTGGCTCAAGCGGCTAAGGCGCCAGCCATATACACCTAAGGTGGCAGGTTCAAATCCAGCCGGGCCCACCAAAGAACAATGATGGCTGCAACCAAAAAAAATAGCCAGGCATTGTGGTGGGCACCTGTGGTCCCAGCTACTTGGGAGGCAGAGGCAGGAGACTCGCTTGAGCCCAGGGGTTGGAGGTTGCTGTGAGCTGTGATGCCATGGTACTCTACCCAGGGGGACAGCTTGAGGCCCTGTCTCAAAAAATAAATAAATAAATAAAAATAAAATCAGTCTTCATGTCACCCCTAGGCCACTACTTCAGAAGAACAGACCCACAGAGACAGTGAATGCTGACAGATGCCGGGAGACTTGCACCTTAGTGATAATCACCAAGAGAAGGCTCAGAGGCCACTGTTTGGGCCATGCTGAGAAAAAGCATGTTTTTCATAGTTCTGTAATGCATCTTGGCAAAAAAAGAAAAAAAACAACCCCAAAGCTTGGTGCCGGATCACAAAAATGTAGTAAGTCTATCCCCTGCAGAGGCCCAGCCTTAGCACTCCTCACACCTGCTAAATTCTTCTACACACACACACATACACAGTTGATTAAATATTTGATTTTCAACCCAGCCAACCTCCCTTTCCACTGAGGCTGAGAGCTCATTAGCTGTTTAGAAACATGGTAGGTCTTTTCTTACCCACAGAAAGGACAGGAAAGCAAACACCTCATAAAAATAATCACTTGTCATGTGATCTCCCCACCTGAAGCCACCCATCACAAAGCCTTCCATAACCCCCTGCTTCGTGTCTGGGTGTTTGCTTTTTCCCAGCTTCCAGGAACAGAAGGCAGAAATAATGCCTCCCTTTCTTTCTTTCTTTTTTTTAATTGAGACAGTGTCCCTTTGTCACCCTCAGTAGAGTGCTGTCACATCACAGCTCACAGCAACCTCCAACTCTTGGGCTCAAGCAATTCTCTTGCCTCAGCCTCCCTAGTAGCTGGGACTACAGGAGCCTGCCATAACACCCAGCTATTTTTTTTTTTTTTTTCATTTAGCAGGCCTGGGATGGGTTTGAACCCACCAGCCCCAGAGCATGTGGCCGGCATCCTAACCACTGAGCTATGAGTGCCCCCCGCCTTGTTTTTGAGACAGAGTCTCTCTTTGTCACCCTGGGTAGAGTGCTGTAGCCTCATAGCTCACAGCAACCTCTAACTCTTGGGCTAAAGCAATCCTCTTATCTCAGCCTCCCAGGCAGCTGAGACTACAAGCACCTACCACAACATCTGGCTAGCTTTTTTTTTTTTTAGAAACAGGGTCTGGCTCTTGCTCAGGCTGGTCTTGAACTCCTGAGTTCAAACAATCCATCCTCCTCAGCCTCCCAGAATACTAGGATTACAGGCGTGAACCACCACAACCTGCCTATGCCTCCCTTGCAAATAGCTCTTTTTATTTCCAAAAGCACAGATCTGGGGTGGTACCTGTGGCTCAGTGGTTAGGGTGCTAGCCCCATATACCAAGGGTGGCAGGTTGCAGCCCGGCCAAACTGCAACAAAGAAATAGCCAGGTGTTGTGGCAGGCACCTGTGTTCCCAGCTGCTTGGGAGACAGCCAAGAGAATCGCCTAAGCCCAGGAGTTGGAGGTTGCTGTGAGCTGTGTGACACCACAGTACTCTACCGAGAGCGACAGGGCGAGACTCTGTCTCTACAAAAAAGAAAAAAGCATAGATCTGACCCATCTCCTGTCTATTTGTCCTAAGGGTCATTCCCATGGCTGTAGGATCCTTCCATTCCCAGCCAGTTCCCATAAATGCTGTCTTCTCTGTCTGGAAACTTCTCTGTTCAGGGAGCTCTTGATATCTCCCTCTTTCTATATAGCTCACACTGGTGGCCCCTTTTTTCCTTAATTACCTTTTCCCACATCTGTCTTCTCACCAAGCAAGGGATTTCTGGGGCCCTATTTGAGTCACCACCAGTTGTGGGGTACATACACTACAGTCTGTAGATTACTTTTTTCTTTAAAAAAAAATGTTTTTTTCTTTTGAGACAGAGTCTCACTCTGTCAACACTGGGTGGAGTGCCTTGGCATCATAGCTTACAGCAACCTCAAGCTCCTGGGTTCAAGCAATCCTCCTGCCTCAACCTCTGGAGTTGCTGGAATTACAGTCACCCACCACAATGTCAGCTAGTTTTTCTATTTTTAGTAGAGACAGAGTCTCACTCTTGCTCAGGCTGGTCTTGAAGTCCTGAGCTCAAACAATCCACCCGCTTTAGCCTCCCAGAGTGCTAGGATTATAGGTATGAGCCCCTGTACCTGGCCTATTTTCTTTTTAATTTTTAAAATTTTTCTTAGAGACAGGGTCTTACTCTGTCACCTAGGCTGGAGTACAATGACATAATTATAGCTTACTGTAACTTTGAACTCCTGGGCTCAAATGATTCTCCCCCCTCAGCTTCTCAAACAGCTGGGACTACAGGTACACACCACCATGCCTGGCTAAATTTTTAAATTTTTTATAGAGATGGGGTCTCACTATGTTGCCCAAGCTGATCCTGAATTCCTAGCCTCAAGTGATCCTCCCACCTTGAAGTCCTTCTCTTTCCTCTTAACATAAAATGGAGTGGTGATTCCTGTGTGTAGCTTCACTCTCACTCCCTTCCATCCACTAGCTCTCTGGGAAGTGTGCCACACTCCAGAGATACCCTCAGAGGATGTACCTCAGTCTTGGGAATGTTCTTCTTGCTGAGCATCTGGGATAAAGTGTTGGGAAGCCTGACATGGCTTGATCAGGGCCTCCATGTGGTGCATGAAGCACTTCCACAGTCCCATGTGAGCAACTCCAGATGAGGGATAGAGAGGTGTGACTTGCCCCAGGTCACACTTTGACTTGGTGAGTAGAACATGGGCCTGCCCCTTCCCCAGACACTGAGGCCACCATCATACTCCCCTCCACCACTAAGAGGCTAGCTCCCACCTTCATAGGTGTTCACAGCCTCCAGGTTCATGGCATGCCGGATCACGTGATATTCATCAGAAATCCCATTCCCCCCCAGCATGTCTCGGGCCTGACGGGCGATGTCCAGGGCTTTCCCACAGTTATTCCTCTTCAGCAGAGAGACCATTTCTGGAGCAGCCCTGGACGTGGTACATAATGTAAGCATTGGGCATCCAGGTATGCCGATGTCCTGGCAAACCTAGTGAAGGGTGAGGATTCCCCAGTGAAGCAACCAAGTTCCCAGTGACAGTCCAGTGGGACTGTCCCAGGTCCATCACATCAAGGCCAAAAGGCAGAAGAGAAGGGGCAGGTTTCCAGGGCTGCCAGGCAGAAGGAACATTTTTCCCAGGAGAGGCACAAGGTCTCTGGCTGTAGGTGGTCCCCCACATGCAGCCCTTACTTGTCCTGATCCTTCAAGCGGCCAAGCTGCAGGCAGGCATGGAGGCCCAGCGTGATTTCAGTGAGCATGTCAGCCAGCTTCTTCTGGATCAGCTGGTTCCTAGCCAGTGGAACTCCAAACTGGATCCTAGATGGGCAAGGGCAGCCTAAAACAAGGGAGGGCCACTCCCCCCACCCAATCCCCATCCCTTGGGCCCTCTTCCAGGAAGCCTTCCCACGCTGTCTCAGTGCCCTGAGTTTGCCCTGGTTCTGTCGTTGATTCAGTCCTTCCCTGCTCAGGAGGACTTTACCAGCCATTTTATAGAAGGCTGGTGGGTATGGAATGAAACCCAAGCTATCCCACACTCCATGAGATTTTATGACAGCCCACACATACCTGTCCAGGGCATACTGCCGAGCCATATGCAAACAGAACTCAGCAGCTCCAAGCACACCCCAGGCAATGCCATACCGGGCATTGTTCAGGCAGCCAAAGGGACCCTGTAAGGTTGAGAGGGAACCTTAATGCCACCCAGGAAGCACTATGCAGACTCAACTCTGAAGCAGGAAAAACCCTCTCCCCAGACACCCCAGAAAGAAAGGACTCCAGGCAGCCATGTAAATCCCACACAGTCCTGGCACAAAAGCCCAGCGCCTGCTCACTCTTGATTTGCACACAGTTCTACCCAGACTGGGTCTGGGTTCAATGCTCAGATCTAGGTGGTGGATATAAGGAGACAGGAAAACACATGAAAGTTGAAGGATTAATCTGTTTCAGGCCTATCTTTGTCCCAGGCAGAGCCAGTATAAGTAAGATGGTCATCAAACAGGCATTTTCTAGCACATCAGCTCAGACAGCTTCCCAAAATCACCACTGTGTGGGCTCCAGAGGCAGAGGGAGTGTGTCATTCTCGTTTCCAGGAGGGTCCCTAGCACAATGCCTACCCAAGAAAGGTGACCCAGCAGGTAACCTGAAACCAGATGCCAAGGTAGCCACTACTCACCCCCAGGCCAGATGTGTTGGGCAGCACATTCTCCTCTGCCACCTCCACACCATCCATGATGATCATGCCTGTGGCCGAGGCACGGAGAGAGAACTTGCCCTCAATCTTGGGGGCTGAGAGACCCCGCATCCCCTTCTCCAGCAGGAAGCCCCGGATGCAGCCATCTTCACACCGAGCCCATACTACAAACAAGTCGGCCATAGGCGAATTGGTGATCCTGAGAGTAGGACAGTCAGTGAGGGGTCTTGCCACTACTCCCCTTCCCCTGTCCCCCTGCCTGCCTGCTGCCTAGAGCCCTCACCAGGTCTTGGTCCCATTGAGGGTGTAGCTCTTGTTGGATGGGTTGTGGTGAGCTCTGGTCTCCATGCTGCTGGGGTCACTCCCACAGTTGGGTTCTGTGAGCCCAAAGCAGCCCAGAAGTTCCCCCTTGGCTGTAGGTATAAGACAGGTCATGGGGCCACCTGGCCTCTATTCCCTCAACCAAAATTTGTCACCCTTGCCAATGAGCCAGGCCTCATAACCAAGGTGAATCTGGTCCTGCTTTCACAGCATTCCCACATTCCCAGGGGGTATGGGAGATAGGTGTCCCACAGCCACAATCTCAATGCTATAATGCCAAGGGGGTCCCCAGGTAGTCAGAAAGGAGTTGGCCAAACTATATCAGGAAGGGCACAAGGAGTTAACCAGAAGGGTGTGGGAAAAGCAGCCCTGGCAGTGGGAACAGAATGTGCAAAGACCTAAAGGTACATTTGGAGAATTTCAAGTAGCTGGGTCTGGCTGGGGAGGACCAAACAAGACAGTAGGCAGAAATGAGATGGAAATGTCAGCAGAGGCTGGTCAAGAGAGGCCTCAGGGAGCTGTATAGGAAGTTAAAACACTGAACTTTGGGCTGGGGGCACAGAAAATGAACTAGGAGGGAGATGATAGTGGTAACAGAGAAGTAGAGAGACACCTAGGAGGGGATGGTCAGGGCCAGTGAGGGATCAGATGACCAGGTGAGAGGCCCAGGGCCTGGCAGGGGATCCAAGTGATCACCATACTTGCTATGTTTGAGATGGGGACAGAGGACAGGCACACCCTTAAGCTCCAGACCTTGGGGACTTTTCCTTCCTCCAGGCACCATGGGCAGGCACTCACCCAGTCGAGGCAGGTACTTCTGCCGCTGTTCCTCACTGCCATAGGTGTAGATAGGATGCATGACAAGGGATGACTGGACACTCATTGCTGATCTGTAGCCACTGTCCACCCGCTCCAGCTCTCGAGCCAGGAGCCCATAGGCCACAGATGAGACCCCAGCACAGCCATACCCTGGTGGTAGTGGAGCAGGGCAAGATGGGACAGCAAAGGACAAAGCCCTGCCCAGCTGGAACCAGGGACCCCTGAGGTCTAAGAGCCTGATAGGGGCACACAAAGAGACAAGCACCAAGCCAAAGCTGTATTCATCTCCTCTTCACAGCAACTATTGGCAAGAAGGATAACAGCCCTGTTCTACAGACTAGGAAACTGTGGCTCAGAGAATGGGACACAGTGGGGTTCACAGACTACCAAGAGAAATTTATTCCTACCTTTGATGGTGGGGCCCAGCACACCCAGCTCTCCCATCTCCAAGATGATTTCGCGATGAAAAACTGCAAAGGGACAGATAGCTCAAGTTCAGGCCCAGCCCTAATCTACTGCAGACTTCAGCCCCGGGGACAGAGAGGCCCAGAGGCTAAGGCAGGCAGAACTGGTGTGAAAGGTGGAGGGTGCAGCTCCAGTGGGAGAAGCCCCAAGGCACCTTCGTTGCGATTGGCCAACAGGATTCTAGGCATGAGTCGCTCCTGGCAGTAGGTGCGGAAGGTGTCCCTGATAAGAGTCTCATCTACCGTCAGCTGCTCCTCCAGCACCAGTGGGTCCTGCCAGTCAAACTGGGGTCGCGAGGCTGTGAAGGAGAGCGGAGGTTGCTTCAGCGCAGCCTGCCCGCCCTTCTCCGACAACTTCCATCCCTCCACTCCAATCTCGCTCCCTGCTGGTGTGGGCTAACTGGACCGTCAAGGTAACGTTTCTTTCTCTAACCCGGCTCATACCGCAGTGTCTCTGACCCTGTGCACGACCCTGCCACACCACCCGAGCTCTCAGAGTCTGGGTCACAGTCCGCCTGCGACGCACGGCGCAACCAGGAGTTCTTACATTTGGCCAGTCGGCTCTGTGTCCTCCCGCCTTTCTCTACAAACACAAAACGGTACAGTCACCCCCAAGAAAGTCCCCCCAAACCCAGTTCCTTCCTCCCCACCCATCCCCGGCCCCCGCACTAACCGGTCTGCACTGCTGTGGAGACCCCCGTGCGCAGGACGCGTAGGCCCAGTCTGCGGTTCAGCAGCCGAGCAGAGACGCTTCTCAGAGCCATGCTAACAGTGGATGGCGAAAGAAACGATGATGATGGACCAGAGGAGCGAGGCCGTCAGCGCCGAGCTGCTCCCAGCCGCGACCCCAGCTTCCCGCGCCCTACTTACCTGTTGCCTGAAAGCCTAGAGAGTGCAACTGACCAAGACCTTTGACCTCAGCGGAGGAGAGGGGAACACACGCCGAATGAAATTTCTTATTGGTTCCGCAACTCTGCCTTTTAAAGGGGCTATGGAGACGTATCCCTGGAAGCAGGCGAGTTCAGGCCCAGACACGATTGCCCCTTTAAGAAGCATAGCCGGGAAGGGGCGGAAGACGAGTGCCCCAATCCGATTGGCCAGCTGTATTTTCTCCCTTAGTGGCCACAGAAGGGGCTCGATCCATACCTGATTGGTCATTTGCCGGAGGTTTGTGCGGAGAGATCCAAGAGTTAAATGAGACAATTGACGGTTGAGAAAAAAATGGTCCTGGAACCGAGAGGCTAGACTTTCAAGTCTACTTTAAAAGAGTGTTGGTAGGGGCAAAAATGAGCTCCGAGTGGACGATTTTAGCAAACCTGCCTGACAGTCTGTACCAGGAAGCACTGTGTGTGTGAGAGAGAGAAGAGAGAGAGAGATTGATTCTGCCTGAGTAATTGTGCGTCTGTGTGGGTCTGTGCACTTGTAAGTTATGATAATTCATCTTTGTGTTTGTATAATATTTGTGGATTTTTTTTTTGAGACAGAGTCTCACTTTGTCACTCTTGGTAGAGTGCCGTGGCGTCACAGTTCACAGCAACCCCAAACTCTTGGACTCAAGCGATTCTCTTGCCTCAGCCTCTCAAGTAGCTGGGACTGCAGGTGCCCACCACAACGCCCGGCTATTTTTAGAGATGGGGACTCGCTCTAGCTCAAGCTGGTTCTTGTCTTGAACCTGTGGCCTCGACCTCCAGAGTGCTAGGATTACAGGCGTGAGCCACCGCGCCTGGCCCGTATCTGTGGAATTTTACCTAAGTGATTGTGTGTGCTGGGGTGGGTGAGGACTATATTTCTTTGGAATGTTGTGTGATACTGTAACTCTGTATGTGTGTGTACGATTTTTCTACATAGGTGTGTATGTCCTGTTTTGTGGTCTTGTTTATCTTTCTTCCTTCATTCCCTCCCTCCTTCCTCTGTCACCCTGAGTAGAGTGCCACAGCATCAGTCAAGTTCACAGCAACTTCAAACTCCTGGGTTCCAGCGATCCCTTGCCTCAGCCTCCGAGTAGCTGGGACTACAGATGCCCACCAAACGCCCGGCTAATTTTTCTATTTTTAGTAGAGACAGGTCTCACTCTTGCTAAAGTTGGTCTTGAACACCTGAGCTGAGGTGATCTGCTTGCCTTGGCCTCCCAGAATGCTAGGATATAGGTGTGAGCTGCCTTGATTGTGTGTTTCTATGAAGTGGTTGTGATTTTACCTGTGTATTTGAGACTGTTAATAGTTGTGAGTCTTGTCCTCTTCATGCCTGCAATCACAGCAGCTTTTCAAGGCGAAGGCAGAAAGATGGATTGAGGCCAGGAGTTTGAGACCAGCCTGGGCAATGCAGTGACCTTGCATCTACAAGAATGGAAAAATTACCTCCATGTAGTGGTTCCTGCCTGTAAACCTAGCTACTGTGGAAGCTGAGGCCTGGGGAGGAAAGCTTGAGCCCAGAATTTCTTTTTTCTTTTTTTTTTTTTTTTGAGGCAGAGCCTCAAGCTGTCCCCCTGGGTAGAATGCTGTGCCTTCACAGCTCACAGCAACCTCCAACTCCTGGGCTCAAGCCAGTCTCCTGCCTCCGCCTCCCAAGTAGCTGGGACCACAGGCGCCCACCACAACGTCCGGCTTTTTTTTGGTAGCAGCATCATTGTTATTTGGTTGGCCTGGGCTGGATTCGAACCCACCACCTTAGGTGTATGTGGCTGGTGCCTTAGCCACTTGAGCCACAGGCGCTGAGCCGAGCCCAGAATTTCAAGGCGGTAGTGAGCTATGATCTAACCGCTATACTTTGGCCAAACGCTGCCTCTAAAAAAATTAAAAATAGGTTGGCGCCTGTAGTTCAGTGAGTAGGGTGCCAGCCCCATACACCGAGGGTGGCGGGTTCAAACCCAGCCCTGGCCAAATTGTAACAAAAAAAATAGCCGGGCTTTGTGGCAGGTTTCTGTAGTCCCAGCTACTCAGGAGGCTGAGGCAAGAGAATTGCCTAAGCCCAGGAGTTGGAGGTTTCTGTGAGCTGTGTGATGCCACAGCACTCTCCCAAGGGCAACAAAGTGAGACTCTGTCTCTACAAATAAATAAATAAAAATAAAAAAGTTATAAGTCTTCGTATGTTTGTGTAGTCATGTCCTATATTAGCATATAATTATGTTGGTGCACATGTGCTTCTTTCAGAGATGATTAGTATGTGTGTATAATGGTGTCCAAGTGGTTGTAAGAGTGCTTGTGTTGTGGTTATGTGTTTCTATGTCTTGTGTGCCTGTGTAAACTGTGGTTGTGTCTGTGTGGCTGAATATCTTTGTGTTTTCTTGTCTGTGTAATTGTAAGCTTGTGTAATGATTTTGTGTGTGATTGTGTGTTCATATGGCACCATGTGTATGACTGTTTTCATTGTTTTCTTTGTGTGTCTATTATCTTTGTGATCATATGACTGGAAATTTATGTCTATGTCTATGAGACTGTGTATCTGTATGTGTCTCTGTGATTTGGTTGTATGTGATTATGTGCCTGACTATGACATGTATGTGTGCCTCAGTTAGTAGCTGTGCTCACATAGGTCTCTCTGGGTTTTTTAAATTTTTATTTATTTATTTATTTATTTATTTATTTTTAGAGACAGAGTCTCACTTCATCATCCTCAGTAGAGTGCTGTGGTGTCACAGCTCACAGCAACCTCCAACTCCTGGGCTTAAGCAATTCTCTTGCCTCAGCCTCCTGAGTAGCTGGGACCCAGGCGCCCACCACAATGCCTGGCTATTTTTGTTGTTGTTGCAGTTTGGCCAAGGCCGGGTTTGAATCTGCCACCCTTGATATTTGGGGCCGGCGCCCTACTCACTGAGCCACAGGTGCCGCCCTTATTTATTTATTTTTGAGACAGAGTCTTACTATGTCACCCTTGGTAGTGTGCCATGGCATCACAGATAGCACCAACCTCAAATTCTTGGCCTTAAGCAATTATCTTGCCTCAGCCTCCCAAGTAGCTGGGACTACAGGTGCCTGCCACAACGCCTGGCTTTGTTGTTGTTGTTGTTGCAGTTGTCATTGCTGTTTAGCTGGTCTGGACTAGGTTTGAACCCTCCAGACTCGGTGCATGTGGCCAGTGCTGTAACCATGGGCGCTGAGTCTACTTTTTGTTTTGTTTTGTTTTATTTGTTTTTCAGACAGAGTCTCTCTATATTGCCCTCAGTAGAGTGCTGTGGCATCACAGCTCACAGCAACCTCCAATTCTTGGGCTCAAGCAATCCTCTTGCCTCAGCCTCCCAAGTAGCTGGGACTATAGG